GAAACAACCTTATAGACACTTGGGCCAAAGAACATGGTATTGAATGGGTGTATCACATCCCCTATCATGCACCAGCCTCCGGGAAAGTTGAACGATACAATGGCCTGTTAAAGACTACCTTGAAAGCAATGGGCGCTGGGACGTTCAAACACTGGGATACGCATTTGGCAAAGGCCACCTGGTTAGTCAATACTAGGGGATCTACCAACCGAGCTGGACCTGCCCAATCAAACCTGTTACGTACTGTAGATGGGGATAAAGTTCCTGTAGTGCATGTAAAAAATATGCTGGGTAAAACAGTCTGGGCTACTCCTGCCTCAGGAAAAGGCAAACCTATTCGTGGAATTGTTTTCGCTCAGGGACCTGGATACACTTGGTGGGTGATGCAAAAAAACGGAGAGGTCCGGTGTGTACCTCAAGGAGATTTAATACTGGGTGAGAATAGCCCATGAACTGAATTGTACCATGTTAAATAGTATATTATACTGTATGTTATCACTACCATGATTACTATAGGTGACTAATTAGAATGTATGGAAAAGAGTGTAACCTGAGCATGACATAAATGGTATGGAATAAGGGGTGGATAGATGTCCTGGTTTCAGTTAGAACGGAATTAATTTTCTTCCTAGTAGCTGGTGGAATGCTGTGTTTTGGCTTAGGATGAGAAGAGTGCTGATAACACCCCGATGCTTTAATTGTTGCAGAGCAGTGCTTATACCAAGCCAAGGACATCTCAGCCTTTTGCTCTGTCCTGCCAACAGGCAGGCTGGGGGTGCAGTAAGAGCTGGGAGGGGACAGACCCAGGACAGGTGACCCAAACTAGCCAAAGGGGTATTCCATACCATCTGACGTCATGCTAAACAATATATAGGGGTGGCTAGCCGGGGGAGGGGGCCGGACTGCTCAGGGTGAGGCTGGGCATCGGTCAGCGAGTGGTGAGCGATTGCATTGTGCATCACTTGTTTGTACATATTATTACTTCCATATTATCACCATTGTATTATTATTATTGTTATTGTTATTATTATTTTTGTTATTATTATTTTCCTGTCTTATTAAACTGTCTTTATCTCAACTCACGGGCTTCACTTTCCATTTCTCTCCCCCGTCCCAGAGAGGGAGGGGGGAAGGTGAGCGAACGGCTGCGTGGTGTTTTGCTGCCGGCCGGGTTAAACCACGACAATCCTGTAAATTCACATTTCTTCATGATAGAAATTACACTTTGTGTAATGTTTTATAGAAAGGATTGAAACATTTGAGGTGATGAGTAGTTGCTCTTTTACTTAAGTACTAAAGAAATTACTGGGTATTGAGTCAGAGCTTTGCTGTCAGACAATAAACAAGCAGGACATGCAAGAGACCAGAGCCCTTTGGAGGATTCATATGGAGCCAGGTGGAGATACCAGAGCACCTCCACTGCCAGCAGTGGTCTTTGTCCCAATAACTCCAGCCCAGCCCAACACATGAAACCCCTTCAAAGACAACAGCCTAGTTCAGGGCGTTCTTGGGATTCACCTAAATTTGAAATGGCCACTGGAAAACCGAAGACACTCTCCCTTATTCCTAGCTGAACATCCATTTACCATCATGGGTCATCTTTGGCAATCTCAGGCTGAAAGGCTCAAGAGCAGGGCACTTCAAATGGCTGAGTCAGAACCCATCGGCTTACCCCAGTTTGGGAATCATCCCCTTCCAACAGGGATATGAAAGTCAAAAATGTGAAATGACCTGTCAGGTCTGTCCTGGTTTCAGTTAGGACACAGTTAATTTTCCTCCCTGTAGCTGGGAGGGTGCTATGTTTTGGCTTAGGATGAGAAGAGTGCTGATGACGTGCTGATGTTTTAATTGTTACAGAGCAGTGCTTACACCAAGCCAAGGACGTTTCATCTTCTCACTCTGTCCTGCCAGGGGGCAGGCTGGGGGTGCAGCAAGAGCTGGGAGAGGACAGACCCAGGACAGCTGACCCAAACTGGCCAAAGGAGGTAATTCCCTACCATCTGATGTCATGCTATACAATATATAGGAGTGGCTAGGCGGGGTGGGAAGGCCAAACTGCTCAGGGTTAGGCTGGGCATCAGTCAGTGAATGGTGAGCAATTGCACTATGCATCACTTGTTTCGTCCACATTAGTAGTAGTATTACTATTATCATCATTACTGTTATTATTATTATTATTGTTATTCTTATTTTCCTGTCTTAATAAACTGTCTTTATCTCAACTCACAGGCTTCACTTTCCCGTTTCTCTCCCCCATTCCAGAGAGGGAGAGGGGAGGGTGAGCAAACGGCTGTGTGGTGTTTAGCTGCTGGCTGTGTTAAACCACGACATGGGGTCAAATAATTAAATAGTGTATAAGGATTTGCCACTGCCGGGAATTTAGTGACTGTTCTTCAATTTACAGCTCTTAGATCTTGGACCAATTGGCATGTCCCATCAGCCTTTTTTTTTTTTCTTTTTTTTTTTTCCGGGTAACGTAGGCATCTTATGGGGGAACATACATGGTTCTAAAGTCCCTCCATGTAATAGCTGATCTATGACTGGTTTTAATCCCTTCCTTACTTCTAATGGAATGGGATACTGTTTTACTCTTAGAGGTTTCTGGGATTCTATTATTTCTACCATTAGGGGTTCCATTTCCAACTTTCCCAATTCCCCTCCTTATACCATACTTGAGGATTTATATCGCCCTCGTCTTCTTTTGATAATGTATAAAACCGGATTTTCCCATTTTCCCTTATAAGCTTTAAGCCCATTTTGGTGATCAAATCCCTCCCCAGTAGGTTATATTCTGCTGCTGGAACAAGCACGAGATCATTAAGACCCGCATAGGTCTCACATTCCACCTCAACGTTTTCTAATATTGACACAGGGAAGGACTCCCCTTTTGCCCCTACCACAGACATTTGCTTTATCCCTTTATTGAATCCCCTTGGTATATTCTGAATAGTCAATCTTCGGCCCCTGTATCTACCAGAAATCACACTTCTCTGTGGAGACCTATTAATTACTTTATCAAGGGCACTGTAGATGTTTGGGTCCCCAGAAGGTATAGCCCCTGACACCCCTAATCTTCTTTAAATACTTTCTAAGGTTGGTTATATGGAGGAGGCAAATTATCAAGGGGTTCCCTCTCCTCCTTATCTTCTTCATCCTCCCTTTTGTAATTAAATTAAAAATACGAGTGGCGAGCGACTCCGTTAGTCCCAACCAGGCTGCAGCATACTTGTTCTCTTCAGGATCCATGGGTATTCTACTATTAGCATTAATGTTCAAAGCCTGACAGACCCAGTCCTCCGTGGATCCAAATATCAGCCAAAATACATGGGGTCTTAAGGGTTCTTTTGGCTATTAACCATACAAAATTGAATCATTCTCGCCTTATCCTTATGTTTAGTGTTTCTAATACTATCCCAATAACTTAACATTAGCCCTAAGGGACTATCCGGTGGAGTATCTGGTAATTTTCCCCCCTTTTTAAATCCCTCCTGGAACCTCCCGAGTCTAAGGATCTGCTTTGTCCCTGACTCATTCCTGGAACTTCTTTTTATACAACTAAAGTTCCGAAACTCATGGCTGTGCCTGGATTTAGAGGTGTCTTGTGAGTGTTATCCCACCTACAAATACTTAGAACCATCACTTCGGTCCTTCACCGGCTGAGTCCCTCACGGGGTATTGGAACTGCAGTTAGAAGACCTCCGCACACGCTTTGGAACTGAGTTCCGTCTCAATCACACCCTTACACACAGTCACACAACCAAATCCACTCAACCAAAGGGCATACTCATGAAATGATAAATCTTTGTTTGGATCTTCGCATGCAGAATTACAGGTTTAAACCAGAGGAAGGGAGAGCTCTTTGTTCTTTACTTGCCTCTTATGTTCATAATCCTGCTGGGCTCTGTACTGCTCCCGGCAAAGGGCCACAATGAAACAAGGGTGGGGGTGCCTCCTTTAGGTGTTCACAGCCTCGGGAAACAAGAGGATCACATGGGGGTCACCAAATTGTTATAAATTCTGAGTCAGTTTAGCATTATAAGACTTATTTAAGATGTATTTAAGATTTATATAAGATTTATGTGTTCTGGGCTTCAGAGGATAAGAGGGTGGTGAAGGAGAAAGGGAGAGTGAACAAGGAGGATAAGGGGAAGGTGAAGGAGAAAGGGAGAGTGAACGGGTAGGAAAACATATCTTCACCTTTCCCCTCCACAGATTGGCTCCGTAATGAAAAAAGGCAATAGGTGCAATTGAAAACAGTTTCTGAGATATGGTTTCCAAAGTATAGAGTCGACGACAGTGCTGAGTACAAATACAAGGTTAGGGTCATGACCAGAAATTTCATCGTCTCATAAGCCACTGTTACACCACACTGTACGATAACGATCTGAATTTTATTTTATTTTATTTTATTTTATTTTATTTTATTTTATTTTATTTTATTTGTTCTAAAGGAACCCGAGTTATCTTAGAAAGGGTTTCATGTGTGGGCTGGTCTACAGTTAGAAGGACAAAGACCACTGCTGGCAGGGGAGGTGTCTGACCTCCAGACTCTGCTTTTCTTCCTGATAAAGGTCTCCAAAGAAGTTACCCTGGATGGACAGCAATAGGAGAAAGATTCTCAAAACTGAAATGCAGCAAAATTCACTGTTTAAAAACAACAGGGCCTGGAAAGTATAAACAGCATAACAGAGAGCACATATGGAAAGTAACGTGCTATAAAACTCAATTTGGAAAACAGGCACAGCAGACTTGAGATTAAAGCAATCAGCATTGTGACTAGCAACTATTAAGGAGGTCTAATACTTATACCAATTTTAGTTTAACACACTCTGGTCAGATCTGTCGTTATCTCAACCCTTCGAGCCCCACGTTCGGCGCCAAAAAGACTGTCGTGGTTTAACCCGGCCGGCAGCTAAACACCACGCAGCCATTCGCTCACCCTCCCCTCTCCCTCTCTGGGATGGGGGAGAGAAACGGGAAAGTGAAGCCTGTGAGTTGAGATAAAGACTGTTTATTAAGACAGGAAAATAAGAATAACAATAATAATAACAATACTGATGATAATAGCACTACTGCTACTAACGTGGACGAAACAAGTGATGCGCAGTGCAATTGCTCACCACCCGCTGACCGATGCCCAGCCTAACCCCGAGCAGTCTGGCCTCCTCCCCATGGCTAGCCACCCCTATATATTTTTTAGCATGACGTCAGAAGGTATGGAATACCCCTTTGGACAGTTTGGGTCAGCTGTCCTGGGTCTGTACCCTCGCAGCTCTTGCTGCACCCTCAATCTGCCTGTTGTCAGGACAGAGTGAGAAGCTGAACCACCCTTGCCTTGGTAAGGACTGCTCTGCAAGAGTTAAAACATTGGCATATCATCAGCACTCTTCTCATCCTCAGCCAAAACATAGCATTCTACCAGCTACTAGGAAGAAAATTAACTCTATCCGAAATCAAACAAGGACAAATGCTATACCTAGAGGGCACAAATTGCCTGAGATTAACTTGAGCTAAACTAGAAAGGAGAGACAGTTCATTACTAAGCAAATACTAAAACCAGCATCAGTTTCTTCAGCGTGGCTTTCAGCTCCTGGTTCCTCATGCTGTAGATAAGGGGGTTCACTGCTGGAGGCACCACTGAGTACAGAAGTGCCATCACCAGGTCCAAGGATGTGGAGAAAATAGAGGGGGGTTTCAGGTACGCAAACATGACAGTGCTGAGAAACAGGAAGACCACAGCCAGGTGAGGGAGGCACGTGGAAAAGGCTTTGTGCTGGCCCTGAGAAGAGGGAATCCTCAGCACAGCTCTGAAGATCTGAATATAGGACAGCACTATGAAAACAAAACAACCAACACCAAAGCAACCACTAACTAGAAGAACACCAACTTCTCTGAGGTAGGCATCTGAGCAGGAGAGCTTGAGGATGTGGGGGATTTCACAGAAGAACTGGTCCACAGCATTGCCTCGACAGAAGGGCAGGGAAAATGTAGTGGCCGTGTGCAGGACAGCGTTGAGAAAGCCACTGCCCCAGGCAGCTGCTGCCATCTGGGCACAAGCTCTGCTGCCCACGAGGCTCCCGTAGTGCAGGGGCTTGCAGATGGCAACGTAGCGGTCGTAGGCCATGACGGTGAGAAAAGAATGCTCTGCTGACATCAAGAAAACAAACAGGAAGACCTGAGCAGCACAGCCTTGATAGGAGATGGCCCTGGTGTCCCAGAGGGCATTGGCCATGGCTTTGGGCAGAGTGGTGGAGATGCAGCCCAGGTCGAGGAGGGCGAGGTTGAGCAGGAAGAAGTACATGGGGGTGTGGAGGCGGTGGTCGCAGGCTACGGTGGTGAGGATGAGGCCGTTGCCCAGGAGGGCAGCCAGGTAGATGCCCAGGAAGAGCGCGAAGTGCAGGAGCTGCAGCTCGCGCGTGTCTGCGAATGGCAGCAGGAGGAATTCACTCACAGAGCTGATGTTCGGCATTTGCTGACTTTGGACATAGATCCTACAAAATGAAAGAAAATATACATGTATATACTGTTATGAGTAAAGTCTCTGACTAATATTCCCAGTAAAAGCCTTACATTCCCCGTTTCCAAGAGGACCTTTATCTCCTTGTCTGAAGCCCTGCTTTGTGCTTGCTGATTGTCCTGTATACAGAAGCCACCTCTGCTCATCAGTCCCCAGTGGGACACCTCTACTCCACTGCAATGGTTAATGTCGCTGTGGAGGCACACCTTAACCAGAGGTTACATCCAGGAGGGCTGCTCGGTCCATCCCCTCGTTCCCAGGTGCTGGCTGCTTGCAGCACTCAGCTGGGGGATGGATGAACACAGAGGTTGTGCTGAAAAACCACATCCCCTGCCTGCACACCCTAAAGAACAGCTCAGAAAAGCCCTGGTGCAGTCTGTAAGCAGAGAGAAGGGAAGGGATATTCTGAGGTTCATCACTAACCTGTTTGTGTCTCAGTTCAATGCAATAGGAAGCTCAGTCACCAGTGCAAATCCAACTACCCTGTTAAAATAGAGCCTGCCCCACAGTCAGAGCACAAAGAGGCAGGCAGAGAGTGCAGAAAGTGCCTTCTCTTTGCAGGCAGCCCCTGCCCTGCCCTTCCTCTGCCCAAGCCCCTATGCTCCTCGGGCAGGCTGAGTGCAGGGGCCCTGCTCTGCACCACAGCCCTGGGCAGCCCTGCCTGCTCCCCTGGCTTCTCCTTCCTCCAGGAACTGCAGCTGCATTGCCCCCCAGCCAGAGACTTACCGGGTTCATGGCTGGGAAGTGTTCTCCCCCAGTAAGCTCTGTGCATCCTGCCACTTCTGCCTGCCTTTAAGCACTGTGTCTCTGCAGGCAGTGCCCCCAGCCCTGCTGCGCTGTGCAGAGGAGCTGCTCCTGGGCACAGCTGTCTCTCTGCACCACGGCCGTCTTGCCAGCAGCTCTCTCTGTCCCACGAGCCCGGCCCAGCTCAGCAGCACAGCACCAGCCCAAGGCACTGCAATCACCCCTCTGGGGGCTTTCCTGATGAGCCCACGAACCTCAGGCACTCAGAGACAATTGAAGACATGTCTCCAGAAGTCCAAGTCAGAGGCAAGTTCCCTGCAGTGTCCCCCTGAGGGCCAGCACTGACACAGCCTCCCTTGGAGCTCGTTAGAGCAGAACCCTGGAGGCAGTGAGGACAAGGAGACAAAGGCAATGTGAAGGTGACACTGATGTGTAGGAAACCTGGACATGTGTCACCAAGCACAAGGGCCAGCCATTCACTCCCATCTCAAGGAAGGGAGATCTTTCCTTTCACAGAGTACTCAGGGCTCTTTGTGGGGCAGTAGGAGATGGGGATGTGCATGGCCAAGTACAGGAGAATGGTACGACCCCTGCCTGCTTCATGGGTTGGCGAGGAGTTAATTAGGCTCCGTTGCTTTAGTGATTAGCTGTGTCCTCATAGGCCTCAGTGGCAGAAACAACAACCATAGCCATGGACACAAATATCTCATAAGACAGATCTGTAGGAAGCTGGCCTGGTTCCTGGTGAGCAGGCAGCACTGCTCATATCACATCCCTCGTGCTGCCCAGGCCCTCCTCTTCCTGGACACTATTCCTCAGCAGGGTCCCTCCCATGTGTTGGGTTCTTCTTCCTCTGCTGCAGGACTGAGCTCTTCTCTCCTGTAAATGTTCAGAGGTTTCTCTAGACAAAATCACGCAGTTTCTCGATTTTTGCCCATGTCCTGGTTTCAGTTAGAACAGAGCTAATTTTCTTCCTAGTAGCTGCTAGGGTGCTATGTTTTGGCTTAGGAAGAGAAGAGTGCTGATAACACAGTGATGGTTAATTGTTACAGAGCAGTGCTTACACCAAGCCAAGGACGTTTCAGCTTCTCACTCTGTCCTGCCAGGGGGCAGGCTGGGGGTGCAACAGGAGCTGGGAGGGGACAGACCCAGGACAGGTGACCCAAACTAGCCAAAGGGGTATTCCATACCATCTAATATCATGCTAAACAATATTTAGGGGTGGCTAGCTGGGGTGGGGGTCCAGGACTGCTCAGGTTTAGGCTGGGCATTGGTCAGTGGGTGGTGAGCAATTGCATTGTGCATCACTTGTTTGTACACATTATTAGTAGTAGTACTATTATCATCATTGTTATTACAGAATCACACAGAATCACCGAATTTCTAGGTTGGAAGAGACCTCAAGATCATCGAGTCCAACCTCTGACCTAACACTATGTCGTGGTTTAACCCGGCCGGCAGCTAAACACCACGCAGCCGTTCGCTCACCCTCCCCCCTCCCTCTCTGGGACGGGGGAGAGAAATGGAAAGTGAAGCCCGTGAGTTGAGATAAAGACAGTTTAATAAGACAGGAAAATAATAATAACAAAATAATAATAAAATAATAACAATAATAATACAATGGTGATAATAGGAAAGTAATAATAGTATGTACAAACAAGTGATGCACAATGCAATTGCTCACCACTCGCTGACCGATGCCCAGCCTAACCCCGAGCAGTCCGGCCCCCTCCCCCCGGCTAGCCACCCCTATATATTGTTTAGCATGACGTCAGATGGTATGGAATACCCCTTTGGCTAGTTTGGGTCACCTGTCCTGGGTCTGTCCCCTCCCAGCTCTTACTGCACCCCCAGCCTGCCCGTTGGCAGGACAGAGCAAAAGGCTGAGATGTCCTTGGCTTAGTATAAGCACTGCTCTGCAACAATTAAAGCATCGGGGTGTTATCAGCACTCTTCTCATCCTAAGCCAAAACACAGCATTCCACCAGCTACTAGGAAGAAAATTAATTCTGTGCTAACTGAAACCAGGACATCTATCCACCCCTTATTCCATACCATTTATGTCATGCTCAGGTTACACTCTTTTCCATACATTCTAATTAGTCACCTATAGTAATCATGGTAGTGATAACATACAGTATAATATACTATTTAACATGGTACAATTCAGTTCATGGGCTATTCTCACCCAGTATTAAATCTCCTTGAGGTACACACCGGACCTCTCCGTTTTTTTGCATCACCCACCAAGTGTATCCAGGTCCCTGAGCGAAAACAATTCCACGAATAGGTTTGCCTTTTCCTGAGGCAGGAGTAGCCCAGACTGTTTTACCCAGCATATTTTTTACATGCACTACAGGAACTTTATCCCCATCTACAGTACGTAACAGGTTTGATTGGGCAGGTCCAGCTCGGTTGGTAGATCCCCTAGTATTGACTAACCAGGTGGCCTTTGCCAAATGCGTATCCCAGTGTTTGAACGTCCCAGCGCCCATTGCTTTCAAGGTAGTCTTTAACAGGCCATTGTATCGTTCAACTTTCCCGGAGGCTGGTGCATGATAGGGGATGTGATACACCCATTCAATACCATGTTCTTTGGCCCAAGTGTCTATAAGGTTGTTTCGGAAGTGAGTCCCATTGTCTGATTCTATTCTTTCTGGGGTGCCATGTCGCCATAGGACTTGCTTTTCAAGGCCCAGGATGGTGTTCCGGGCGGTGGCATGAGGCACAGGATATGTTTCCAGCCATCCGGTGGTTGCTTCCACCATTGTAAGTACGTGGCGCTTGCCATTGAGAGTTTGAGGGAGTGTGATGTAATCAATCTGCCAGGCCTCTCCATATTTATATTTCAGCCATCGTCCTCCATACCAAAGAGGCTTTGACCGTTTGGCTTGCTTGATTGCAGCACGTTTCACAGTCATGAATAACCTGTGCTATAGCGTCCATGGTCAAGTCCACCCCTCGATCACGAGCCCATCTGTATGTTGCGTCTCTACCTTGATGGCCTGAGGTGTCATGGGCCCATCGGGCTATAAATAATTCACCTTTATGCTGCCAATCCAAGTCCACCTGAGCTACTTCAATCTTAGCAGCCTGATCCACCTGCTGGTTGTTTTGATGTTCTTCAGTAGCGCGATTCTTGGGCACATGAGCATCTACGTGGCGTACTTTCACAGCCAGGTTCTCTACCCGAGCAGCAATATCTTGCCACAATGCAGCAGCCCAGATGGGTTTGCCCCTACGCTGCCAGTTGTTTTGCTTCCATTGCTGTAACCATCCCCACAGGGCATTTGCTACCATCCATGAATCGGTGTAGAGATAGAGAACTGGCCATTTTTCTCGTTCAGCAATGTCTAAAGCCAGCTGAATGGCTTTCACTTCTGCAAACTGACTCGATTCACCTTCTCCCTCAGCAGCTTCTGCAACTCGTCGCGTAGGACTCCATACAGCAGCCTTCCATCTCCGATGCTTCCCCACAATACGACAGGACCCATCAGTGAACAGGGCATATTTCTTTTCATTCTCTGGCAACTGGTTGTACAGTGGGGCTTCTTCAGCACGACCCACCTCCTCCTCTGATGATATCCCAAAATATTTGCCTTCTGGCCAGTCCATGATCACTTCCAATATTCCTGGGCGACTGGGGTTTCCTATTCGAGCCCGCTGAGTAATCAGTGCAACCCACTTGCTCCATGTAGCATCAGTTGCATGATGCGTAGAGGGGACCCTTCCCTTAAACATCCAGCCTAGTACCGGCAATCGGGGTGCTAGGAGGAGCTGCGCTTCAGTACCGACCACCTCCGAAGCAGATCGAACTCCTTCATATGCTGCCAATATCTCCTTTTCAGTTGGAGTATAGCGGGCCTCAGATCCTCTGTATCCCCGACTCCAAAACCCCAGGGGCCGACCTCGAGTTTCCCCAGGTTCTTTCTGCCAGAGGCTCCAGGTGGGGCCGTTCTCCCCGGCTGCAGTGTAGAGCACATTCTTTACATCTGGTCCTGTTCAAACTGGCCCAAGGGCTACTGCATGGACTATTTCCTGCTTGATTTGTTCAAAGGCTTGTCATTGTTCAGGGCCCCATTCAAACTCATTCTTCTTACGGGTTACTTGGTAGAGTGGGTTTACAATCCGACTGTAATTTGGGATGTGCATTCTCCAAAACCCCACAACACCTAGGAAAGTCTGTGTTTCTTTTTTGCTAGTTGGTGGAGACATAGCTGTTATTTTGTTGATCACATCCATTGGGATTTGACGACGTCCATCTTGCCATTTTATTCCTAAAAACTGGATCTCTCGTGCAGGTCCTTTGACTTTATTCTGTTTTATGGCAAAACCGGCTTTCAGAAGGATTTGGACTATTTTCTTCCCTTTCTCGAAAACTTCCTCTGCTGTGTCACCCCACACAATAATGTCATCGATGTACTGCAGGTGTTCAGGAGCCTTCCCCTGCTCTAGCGCAGACTGGATCAGCCCATGGCAAATGGTAGGGCTGTGTTTCCACCCCTGGGGCAGCCGATTCCAAGTATATTGGACTCCCCTCCAAGTGAAGGCAAATTGTGGCCTGCACTATGCTGCTAGAGGGATGGAGAAAAATGCATTAGCGATATCAATTGTGGCGTACCACTTGGCTGCCTTTGACTCAAGTTCCTACTGAAGTTCCAGCATGTCCGGCACTGCAGCACTCAGTGGTGGCGTGACTTCATTCAGGCCACGATAGTCCACTGTTAGTCTCCACTCACCATTAGACTTTCGCATTGGCCATATAGGACTATTGAAAGGTGAATGGGTCTTGCTGATCACTCCTTGGCTCTCCAATTGACGAATTAGCTTATGGATGGGAATCAGGGAGTCTCGGTTAGTGCGATATTGCCGCCGGTGCAGAGTTGTGGTAGCGATTGGCACTTGCTGTTCTTCGACCCTCAGCAACCCCACAACAGAAGGGTCCTCTGAGAGACCAGGCAAGGTAGATAATTGTTTAATGCCCTCTGTCTCTAAGGCAGCTATACCAAAAGCCCACCGGAACCCTTTTGGGTCCTTGCAATATCCTCTTCTAAGATAGTCTATGCCAAGGATACATGGAGCATCCGGGCCAGTCACAATGCGGTGCTTTTCCCACTCATTCCCAGTCAGACTTACTTCAGCCTCCAATACAGTCAACTGCTGAGACCCCCCTGTCACTCCACAAATATAGATGGGCTCTGGTCCTTTATAGCTTGATGGCATTATAGTACATTGTGCACCGATGTCTACTAAAGCCTTATACTTCTGTGCGTATGACGTGCCAGGCCATCGAATCCACACAGTCCAATAAACTCGATTGTCCCTTTCCTCCCCCTGGCTGGAGGCAGGGCCCCCCTAATCCTGGTCAGAATCTTCTTCGTTTCTGTGTTTGAAGGACTGTCTGCTGGAAGTTGGAGCACCAAACTTTTCAGAGAATCCTTTTTTCCTGATTGTTTTCTTTTGCAACTCACGTACCCGTGCCTCTAGGGTCGCGGTAGATTTTCCATCCCATTTTCTCATGTCCTCTCCATGGTCTCGTAAGTAAAACCACAGGGTGGCACGGGGTGAGTACCCACCATATCGTCTTCCTTGTGTAGATGAACGCCTACCCCTGATAGCTGAGACACTGCTTTGTACAGGTACAGAGGAGAATAATCTCTCTTCAAGTTGGTGAAACTTTTCAGAAAGTGTTTTCTCCCAGGTGTTCTCTTTTGGTCGTTGGACACTGGTTGATTCAGGTGGGGAGGAAGATAGATTCTCTTCAAGTTGGTGAACCTTTTCAGAAAGTTTCTCCACAGCTGAGACGCAGGCCTGTAAGGAAGAGGAGAGACTTTCTTCGTACTGCCGGAGTTGTTTAGCCGCTTCATCCACTGTGGGTTCCTCATCCTCTTTCCAGGCCATTATTGCCAATGAGCTGGCATATGATGATGGTGCACTCCGTACAAACTTCCGCCACATGGGTCATGTACACTTGACTTCATCTGGATCTTTGGATGTTTGTCTGAGGTCTGGATCCTCATAAATCACTTCCCGTACGGCTAATTCCCTCAGGTACTGGATCCCCTTCTCCATAGTGGTCCACTTGCCTGGTAGACATAAAAGTTCTTCCTTGAAGGGATACCTTTCCCTCACAGCTGAGAGGAGACGCCTCCAGAGGCTGGTGGATTGTGCTCCATCTGCAATTGCTTTGTCAATGCCTGCGTCTCTAGCAAGGGATCCCAGTCGCTTGGCTTCCCTGCCGTCTAATTCCACACAATTGGCTCCACTGTCCCAACATCAGAGCAGCCAGGTGACAAGCTGCTCACCTATACAGTGACCAAAATCTTTTCGCACATCTCGTAACTCACGCTCATTTAGGCTTCGAGTAGTTACTGTTGATTTTTCGGCATCCTCATCTTCCTCCTCCTGAATCCTTGATGGCCCAGCATCGTCGTCATCTCCGTCGTCTCTATACCTAGATTTGGCAGAAGACTCTCTGCGTTCTAAACGACCTGAATCTCTATACCATTTTTTCACCTTCTCTACAGGGGCAGCTTGCACTGCTACAGTTCGTTTCTCTGACTTTGTTACAGGACCTGCCACAGAGGTTGGAATACCCTCTGCAGGGTCAACTTGCACTGCTATAGCTTGTTTCTCTGACCCTGTTACAGGGTCTGCTACAGGTGTTGGAATAACCCCTGCAGGGTCAACTTGCACTGCTACCGCTCATTTCTCTGACACAGCCACAGAAGCTGGAGCAGTTGCAGGAGCTGGGACTGGAGCAGCTGCAGGAACTGGAGCTGGAGCAGTTGCAGGAGCTGGGACTGGAGCTGGGACTGGAGCTGGGACTGGAGCAGCTGCAGGAGCTGGGACTGGAGTGGCTGCAGGAGCTGTGATTGGAGCAGCTGCAGGAGCTGGAGCTGGAGCAGCTGCAGGAGCTGGGACTGGAGCGACTGCAGGAGCTGGGATTGGAGCATCTGCAGAAGCTGGACCTGGAGCTGGGACTGGAGCGGCTGCAGAGTCCACCGTAGGGGTCACAGTGGCCGTTGGATCTGTCACAGGGCTTGGAGTGGCCGCAGGGTCTGTCACTAATTTGATAGCAGTATCCATGGCAGCTCGATAGGCATGAGCCAGGCCCCAGCACGTTACAATGATTTGTGTTACTTTGAAACTGCCAGAATCATGACACCTTTTTTTCAAGCATTCTACCAGTTTTTTAGGATTTTGCAGTTGTTCAGGGGTGAATTTCCAACACACTGGGGGTGCCAACTGCTCTAGATGCCTGCCCATATCCACCCATACTCCCTGCCACCCACAACTATACTGCCTCCGGGCAGATCTCCGATGAGCTTCCTAAGTAGTTGTTTAACTTTAAGCAGAATCTGAAGTGCATTCAGGAGGCAAAACAACAAGACTATGCTGGTCTGAGTATCCTAAGAATATTCAATATCTTGGAGAGCTATTGTAATAAGCTCGGAGGATAAGAGGGTGGTAAAGGAGGAAGGGAGAATGATCCGGGAGGATACAGGGGTGGTGAAGGAGAAAGGGAGAGTGAACAAGTAGGGAAAAATATCTTCCCCTTTCCCCTCCACAGATTGAGTCCCTAATGAAAAAAGGCAACAGATATAATTGCTAATAGTTTCCAAGATACAGTTTCCAAAGTATATAGTCGAAGATGTTACTGAGTACAAATACCAGGTTAGAGTCATGGCCAGATATTTCATCATCTCATAAGCCACTGATACAACACACAGTACCATAATGATCTGAAACCAGGGCCCGGAGAGGATAAACAACACGACAGAGAGCAAATACGGAAAATAATGTACTATAATACTCAATTTGGAAAACAGGCGCAGCAGAGTTGAGATTAAAGCAATCAGCATTATGACAAGTGACTATTCAGCAGGTCTAATCCTTACACCAATTTTAGTTTAACACCCTCTGGTCAGATCTGCCGTTATCTCAACCTTTCGGGCCCCACGTTGGGCGCCAAAAAGACTGTTATGTTTTAACCCGGCTGGCAGCTAAACACCACACAGCCGTTCACTCACCCTCCCCCCTCCCTCTCTGGGATGGGGGAGAGAAATGGAAAGTGAAGCCCGTGAGTTGAGATAAAGACAGTTTAATAAGACAGGAAAATAATAATAACAAAAATAATAATAACAATAATAATAATAATAATACAATGGTGATAATAGGAAATTAATAATAATATGTACAAACAAGTGATTCACAATGCAATTGCTCACCACCCGCTGACCGATGCCAAGCCTAATCCCAAGCAGTCCAGCCCCCTCCCCCCAGCTAGCCACCCCTATATATTGTTTAGCATGACGTCAGATGGTATGGAATACCCCTTTGGCTAGTTTGGGTCACCTGTCCTGGGTCTGTCCCCTCCCAGCTCCTGCTGCACCCCCAGCCTGCCCATTGGCAGGACAGAGCAAAAGGCTGAGATGTCCTTGGCTTGGTATAAGCACTGCTCTGCAACAATTAAAGCATCGGGGTGTTATCAGCACTCTTCTCATCCTAAGCCAAAACACAGCATTCCACCAGCTACCAGGAAGAAAATTAATTCTGTTCTAACTGAAACCAGGACACACAGCAAATATGGAACCTGACAGCCTTCCATCCCCTACCCTTCTGTGATTGTGCTGCAATTCCATTCCACTGGTTACTCCTGAATTATCCAAATTTCTCTGCAACTCTTGCTGCTGCTGCTGTCTGGTCAGAGATAGCACAATTACACTAAGGGTGAATTGTCTGCCTGCTGACATTGCACATTGGGACCCTGCTGAGTGAGTAGTGGCCAGGAGGAGGAGGCCCTGGGTACAACGAGGGATGCCATACAAGCAGTGGTGCCTGCTCACCAGGAATCAGGTCAGCTTCCTACAGAACTGTATTACGAGGAGCATGGCCACCAAGATCTGAGATATCACGCTCAGCTCAGATCTGCTGTGACACCACAGAGATAAGGGTCTGCAGCCAAAAAGGAAAGATGTGGAGGTCTCAGAGTCCCTAGCAAAGCCATGTATAGACAGGAAATAGGGCTGTGACAAAGCTGGAAGTCCCAACAGGACCAGGTCTTTGTGTCCATGGCTATGGCTGTTGTGTCTGCCACTGAGCCCTATGAGGAGAAGACAGCTTATCATTGAAGAACCAGGGCTTCACAGCCTCCTCACCCCCACCCATGAACCAGGCAGGGGTTGTAGCATTCTCCTGTACTTGGCCATGCACATCCCCATCTCCTACTGCCCCACAAAGAGCCCTGAGCAACCTGTCAAGGAAAGGACCTCCCTTCCGAAGCACTTGGGGTCAAGCAGAAGGGCCTTCTGCTTGGTGACACACATCCTGTTTTCAGTGTTACCTTCACATTGCCTTGTCTCCTTGTCTTCACTGCCTCCAGGCTTCTGCTCTAACGAGCTCCAAGGGAGGCTGTGTCAGTGCTGGCCCTCAGGGGGACACTGCAGGAAACTGGCCTCTGACTTGCACTTCTGGAGAGATGTCTTAACTTTTCTCTGAGTGCCTGAGGTTCGTGGGCTCATCAGCCAAGCCCCCAGAGGGGTGATTGCAGTGCCTTGGGCTGGTGCTGTGCTGCTGAGCTGGGCCGGGCTCGTGGGACAGAGAGAGCCCTGGTGCAGAGAGACGGCTGTGCCCAGGAGCAGCTCCTCTGCACAACGCAGCAGGGCTGGGGGCTCTGACCACAGCTGGCACACAGAGAGGAGAGAAGGAGAGAGGGCTTGGAGACAACAGAGGGCAGCGTGTGGCAGGACACATCTGCAGGCTCTTGACACCATGAGGCTCTGGCAGCAGGGCAATGCAGGTGGGGTTGCCAGAGGGGTCTTGTACAGCTGGCACATCTGATGGCTGATTGCATCTGCCAGGGTTGGTCTCTCTGTTTCTCCAGGTAGGAATAGAAAATGTTTTAATGAATGGTATTTATGATTGGATTTTTTGAGAGAAAGACCAAGGCAGAGTCTACCTGAAAAGCAAGACTTTTTACGCAGTCTGTGCTTTCAGGTTACTGCAGTCGAGGGGAGGCAGGTTTCATGGTAATCCATTGTCAGGATTGTACAGGAGACTGAGACTCCTGGAGCACTGCATTGAGAAATTAATATGTCATTGATGAAATTTGAGAACTACCTTCCCAAACCTCATCTCACAGACTGCACCATCATCATCTTTGTGGTCCTCTCAGGTTTTATCCTAGCTGATCTTAAGGAGCTGAAAACCCTCTGATGCCCAGTGCCCTGTCTTTTGGAGATCTCTGCCAGCTTGAGGTGAGCACAGATCATTTGCAATGAGCATGAGCTGCCTCCTCTGTGGGCAGAGCTGCAGCACAGGAGGGGCTGCTGAGTGTCTGTCTGTCCCTCCCTGTCCTTGCCTCCCCTGGCAGCAGCACGCTGGCATTCCTGCTGGCTTCTCCAGCTGGCCGTGCTGCTGCTGGTCTTGTTCCCAGGCTGGCTGGGGATGGGGGTTTCACATGCCCGTGGGGTGAGCCCTCGGTGTGCTTGGGGGAAGGGGAGTATGGGAACAGGGTGAGGGGTCTGGAGATGGGCACTTTGATCCTGGGTTCCTCTGCTCTCAGCAGTGTTCAGGATCTTTTCAGATGAACAACTGAGTACAACTTTCCTGCAGCTCTCACAGGGCGGCTGAGACCAGCACTGATGGACAGATTGTCTGTCCTCACTAAAGGACACTGTGCACTGTAGGGACAGTCCCTTTTTCTCTGAGCAGACACAAAGTTTCCCTTCAAGTGCAGGGGGAATGCCCAGGATTTCTGTTTTAGAAAAACTCAGCAGTGTCCAAGTTCTGTAGGCACTGGAACAGGCACCACAGGGAAGTGGTCACAGCACTGAGGCTGTCCGAATTCAAACATTTGGGCAACCCCCTCAGGCATATAGACTGATTTTTGGGTGGTCATGTACAGATTCAGTGGTGGGATCTGATGATCCTTGTGGAACACTTTCAAGTCAGGATATTCTATGATTCTATGACTCTAGGAACATAGGAGCAGAATTGCACTGTAGCTCAAAGACCGGCCAACATAGAGCAGCTGAGCCCAGAACTGATGGACTCCTCTCAGAAGAGCATTCTGCTCTAAAAATGCAGTATCTGTGACTCTGAAGATGTACAAGGTTTCACTTGGAGTGCAACTGAATGCCCAGGATTTATGCCTTAGAAAGACTCATCAGGTGTGGTGGAGCAGCTGAACAAAGAGTACAAATCAAATAAACAAAGAAACAAATAAACAAATAAATCTCCACGTGTCTGCTCTGTGATGAACTTTGATCAAAACTAGGGCAATCTCTGATATCAGGAGTGAAGTGAATCTGAGACTGCCCCATGTTCCCACCATGTTGCTACCTTGAGCTGTAGTGCAGGACTGATTGTTCCATTGCCCACAGAAGAACACTCTTCTCCCAGAGAGACACACAATCACCTGGAAGTCATTAAGGGGACCTGAAAAATAACTGCCTGCAAGTGGACAATCAATCGGTTTTAAATGAGAAAACTGAATTTTCCTCTGCTAAGTCTGCTGTACATTACTACTATTCTTTCTCTTTGTGCAGGTCCGCTTCACAGAAATAACAGATGTCCAACAGCAGCTCAGTCAGTGAGTTCCTCCTGCTGGCATTTGCAGAAACGCGCGAGCTGCAGCTCCTGCACTTTGCGCTCTTCCTGGGCATCTACCTGGCTGCCCTCCTGGGCAACGGCCTCATCGTCAGCGCCGTAGCCTGCCACCACCGCCTCCACACACCCATGTACTTCTTCCTGCTCAACCTCGCCCTCCTCGACCTGGGCTGCATCTCCACCACTCTGCCCAAAGCCATGGCCAATGTCCTCTGGGACAACAGGGTCATCACCTATCAAGGCTGTGCTGCTCAGGTCTTTCTGTTTGTCTTCTTGATTGCATCAGAATTTTATCTTCTCACCGTCATGGCCTATGACCGCTACGTTGCCATCTGCAAGCCCCTGCACTACGGGAGCCTCGTGGGCAGCAGAGCTTGTGCCCAGATGGCAGCAGCTGCCTGGGGCAGTGGCTTTCTCAATGCTGTCCTGCACACAGCCAGCACATTTTCCCTGCCCCTCTGCCAAGGCAATGTCCTTGAACAGTTCTTCTGTGAGATCCCCCAGATCCTCAAGCTCTCCTGCTCACATGCCTACCTCAGAGAAGATGGATTTATTGCATTTAGCTTTTGTTTAGGTGTTGGCTGTTTTGTTTTTATTTTGGTGTCCTATGTGCAGATCTTGAGGGCAGTGCTGAGGATGCCCTCTGAGCAGGGACGGCACAAAGCCTTTTCCACGTGCCTCCCTCACCTGGCTGTGGTCTCCCTGTTTGTCAGCACTATCATGTTTGCCTACCTGAAGCCCCCCTCATTCTCCTCCCCATCCCTAGACATTGCAGTATCTTTTCTGTACTCCACGTTACCTCCAATAGTGAACCCCGTCATCTACAGCATGAGGAACCAGGAGCTCAAGGATGCACTGAGGAAATTGTTTGAATACATATTTCTTAGAAACTATGATGTGCCTTTACATTCCGAGTTTTTGAGAGAAACAGGAAAGTAATTCGGTTTTATTTTTCTTGATAAATATGTTCTCCAAGTTGTGGTATCAATTTAATTAATGTCATTCTTAGCCTACTACCTGTTAATATATCTCTTTACTTTTCCTAATTTTCTCATGTGTATCTAAAGCCAGGTTTTCTGTGTAGCTATAGACAATAAAGAAGCGAGCAGAAATTCATAGGTCTCAGCTTCAGTGCATTCCCATCTCCTGTGAACTAGCAAGGAAACTATTTAAAAAAAAAATAGCAAAATCTATTTGTGATAGTGATGCTTGACCACTTCCTTGAAACAGGGCCTCAATAGACACAGCTGATTTTCAGGAGGACAGACGTTTTCGTAATGGGAGCCCAACTCTTCCCTCTCCTTCCATTTTCCACCTTTTATTGCTGAGTGTGACATCATATGGTATGGAATATCTCTGTGCTGGTTTAGGTTAGCTGCCCTGGTGATGTCCCCTCCCTGTCTCTTACACACCCACAGCCTGCTGGCTCTTTGGAGAGGGGGGATTGGAGGGATCCCTGATGCTGTGACAGCATTGCTCAGCAGTAGACAAAACATTACTGTGATACCAGTTCTGTTCTAGCTACTCGAGCAAAGCAGAGCACTGTGTGGGCTTCTACAGGAAAAGGTAATTCCGTCCCAGACAGAGCCAGTGCAGGGCCACACACTGGACAAGAAGGCTCCCTCTGAGCTCTGTGGGGAGTCAGGAAGGT